ACTAGTAAATCCTCAAAATAATAGTAGGGCAATATTCTTACACTAAGAACTTCAGCTCAAGTAACTGGCAATGTGAGCATACAAAAAATGAGATACACCACAACAGCTTCATTTAATGACTTGTTTTTTGAAAGATAAGGGCCTTAAGTGTGTCCCTGCTGCAGGATTATTAGTTATCATTTTCTTTCTAAGTTTAATCAACTTAAAATACTTACAGCATGTGTATTTTAAAGATAAATACACTAACAGCATGTAAAACGTACCAAATAGTTAAATGCTACCTAGAAGAGCCAAAAAAAAAAAAAAAAAAAAAAAAAAAAAAAAAAAAAAAAAAAAAAAAGAAAAAGAGAGGTACTGAAACCTGTTTTGTGTTCTAGCTGAAATGAGTATTACTTGGTCCAACTGGATGACCAAGGACTTACACACACACACACACACACACACACCATGTAAGCAGTAAAGTCTAAGTAGACAAGCATATAGACAAGCATATAGACAAGCATTCTTTCTATTTATATATTATTAGCTATATTTATTGCTACTTAATTAGGTATAAAATATAAAACTCACTGATAATTACACTAAGAAATACTAGAAAATCATCAAAGAAAAAGTTAATGTGAAAACAAAATGCCACAGGGACAAAGCTAGTACTCCAATCATTAGGAGGTAGTAATATCGCATGAGAACAGTCTGCTTAAGCAGAAAAAAAAAAAGTACTTGAGGTGTTCTTTCTCATTTAGAGAAAAAACTATAGACACTTTTTTGGTGCAATAATAGAAGTAGTCTGTTCAGGGTGTAAGAATCTCAACAAAAGAGTTACATTCAGACTAAACTCACTTTGTGAGTTAACTCTTACCAACTTACTTGCCTTTTCATGCACATCTGGATCACTTCACTAAAACTTTTAAAAACTGGAGCTAAAAAGGTAGTAAGACAGTTCAAATAACCACTTCCTGTCAGAAACTGGTTATTTCTTATTCAAAAGAAATGTCTTTCATTTAAAAAAATAAAGGCATAATGACAGATTCCTTAGTTTAAAAGGTCATACAAGACCCAAAAATAAAACCAGCTCACTAACCAGTTAATAAACATAGGCACATCCATACGATGAACTGTCTCATTAAAAAAAAAAAAAAAAAAAAAAAAAAAAAAAAAAAAAAGAAGCCCTTAATATACTGAAATAAAACAATTACTCAGCTGTATTAGGTGAAAGAAAGCAAGATACAGGATAGTGTATTTAGTACATAATACCATTTGTAAAAAGAAAAACAATGTGCAACGCAGGGCGGGGAGTACATACAATATTTGCCTTTACATGGATAGAATTATCTACAAGGGCAAATTGGTAACACTTGAGCAATGGGGATGAGAGTGAGGGTGTATCACATGACCACCTGCTGTATTACATTTTATGGTGAATCATGGACTATCTGAATGAATTACTAAAAAAATTAAATTGAAAATATAAATACATACATTCTGCCTTATTAGTCGTCATGTCCCCCAAAGTTTCCTGAGGATAGAGATAAAACAGTGTAATCCATCTCTGGAGTCTCTGTAGCTTTCGGCCCAGTGGACTAAATGCACTACTACTACTACTACTGAATAATTTTTAATATTTTAGGCAATATTTGATGAGCACTTGTGAAGTGCCTGACATTTAATATGTATTAACTTATATAATATCTCCATTTCTATGAGGTAGATAGAGTATATTTATGATGAAGGAAACTGAGGAATGGAGAAATCTGAAGGTCCCATAGCTAGGAAGTTAAAATAAAGCTTAAAAATGAATAGCTATCATTAATTGAGTCCCTAAGGAGGTACTTTATAATCATCTCACAGCCCTATAAATTGGGCGGTATTCTAATTTAACAGGTAAGGAAACTAAGGTTGAGAAAGATTAAGGCACTTCCGTAGGTCACAAAATTTCCTGAGGGTGGGCACATGACAGCGGTGGCAACAGCAGGAATGAAACCCAGGCCTGTGAGTCCAAACCCCGTGCCCTTTCCACTAACTACATTGTCACAGTAAATGCTAACCAAATATTTGAATTACCACGAACTATTGCCTCAAGTGATTCTGTAGCAGAGATGAGTTCACACAGGACTAAGAAAAAAGAAATCCTTGCATTTTTTTTCCATTCGCTGTTCTTAAATTCAGATTTGAGCTCCGCAGCCATCAGGAAAGTGACACTGTACATCCAGGAATACACGTTCGTAAGACTCTGCCACAGGCTGCTGTAAACAAGTCTTTATACCGTCTCTACAAGTTACTTTATGGAGTAAGTGAAATTATAAATTTCAGCGATACATTGTAAGCATTAAGATACAATTTTCTGTACTGTGCAAAAACAGGAAAAGATTTTTTAAATGAGGTGAAGTAGGGAATACATACTTGGCTTTACTATGACCACATGATATCCAAAAAACAAAACCCAATGTCTTAGGACGAGAGCTAACGTAAAGCTACTTCTCTACAAAAATGAAAAATGCTGTTAATTAGATACAATCAAGAAAATGAATGTCAAAAAGCAGGAAAAGGAAGGTACCATTTTATGGATTGGGTTTCTAAGTTTCCTTAGGCTCTCAGGTGAGAAAAAAAAAAAAAGTCATTCAAAAAGGGGTAACACTGGTTTTAAGTGTCCTTTTAACATTTTTCAGTCTGTCTCAGTCAAAGATTCATTTGCTTTCTGAATACATGTGTCCAATAAAAAAAAAGGTGCAAGCATATTGAACTGTAATTTCTACTGACCTGGGAAGTGACATAAGTATAACTTATGGCCATGCTCCAAGTGAACATTCAAATATTAATGAATATAAAAGTTTGAAAAGTTCCACTTGGAATTGCTAAGAATTGCAGATTATCAATCTATAAATAAAACAAAACGTAAAAGATCTTCTGGATACGAGAGGAAAAAAATCCATCAGGACACTTTTTTTTTTTTTTTTTTTAAATTCACAAAGAGTCATTGTCACACATTCTCTGTAAGGGACCAATAGTCTACTCAACTGATGCTGGCTTGCAGAAAATCTTCAGGACACACAGCAAACTATCACATCATCAATACTACAATTTCTTCAGTGTTTGGAAGTAAGATCATCTTCCCCATCCTTATGTAAACTCTTTACTGCATCTTAATGAAGTTTCCCAGCAATGATAAATTTCTAAGGTGTTTTTTTTTTTTTTTTTTTTTTTTTTAAGACTTGCACTAGGATAAAGTAGGTTTTGGAAAAGTGACTTAGATACAGAAAAAAAATCAAAAGACAGTGCTTCTATTACCAATCAGTATTTATTCTGAACAAGAAACCTTATAGTATCCATCACAATGCTATCACACTATGACAGTAAGTATTTTCAAAACAAATAACGTGTTCATTTTTTGTATCACCTAAAATAACCGTTTTGGCTTTACTTTTAAATCAGGAAATGAGCCGTGAGTGCAAAAAGATTTCAATAGCTGGGAACCGAAGTTATCTTTTAAACCAAACCTTTAAAGGCAGAACTGATGCAAACGAAGTCTAGGATGAAATTCCAACTTCTTAGGAAGGTATGACAAACTTAAATAGGTCATATTCCAGGTCCCTTAAAAACTGTCTTTTAATCTTTAACGTGTCAACGACTTTTCTGCGGTTCCTTTTACCAACAGGCAAAGAAAAAACAAGCCTTGTGGCTTCAACTATTGTCCGTCTCCTGCAAGGGTTACTTACTGCATGAGAAGCAAACACTGGACACTTCTAAATGCTTATTTTTAGATTTAGTATTAATCTCTTACTTAAGTTTAGACAGAGACATGTGGGAAGCTTGGTTGGGGGTGGGAGATCCGGAGGACCAAAACTCGGCTGGCATTGTTGGCCCCCAAAATATAAAAAATAGATGTAAAACAAAGGTGCATCGCCTAATATTCGTTTCAACGAAGTGCTTCAGAATGATAGATCTCAAGTGATTATTACCTTTTTGAAAAGGGTTAAAACCGAAACTGTTTTCAAACACCAGCTTCCCTTTTACAGGATCCCAACAGTTTTTTAAAAAGTTTTACAAATATGTTTTTCTTAGCCCCCCCCTTCCTCCCCGAAAGAATGTATTTCCATGACTACTGCCTAAAAAAAAAAAAAAAAAAAGAGCGAGGGAAAAGAGTCAAAAATTATATTAAAAAGCACGGCTCTCACCATCTCAACTAAGCAGAAAAGAACAGAAAACAGTATGTCCCCAATGGGGTGGGAGCGGGGGAAAAGGGCATGAATAAAATACAGAACGAGAGGAAACCTTTGGTTTCGAACTTTATTGCACAAAGAGAGTGGAGAGAAGAGTAGGTCAGACGTTGCAGCGCTTCCCCTCGCGAAGCGGGCATGGCAGACACCGAGGCTACCGGGAAGGCAGGCACCTTCACCTCCTCTGCCCTCAACTGTCGCCTTCTTCCTCCTCCACCCCCCGCGGGCACCCCGGCGGCGCTGCCCCGGCGGACGGCCGGGCCAGATCGGGCCGGGCCGGGGGCGAGGCGGGGGCTGGCGAGCGTCGGGCGGTGGGGGCAGGCCGGGCTGGCGGGTGGCGGCGGCCTCCCTGGGGTGGTTCTGGGTCTCTGGCTCTGGCCAGCCCGCGCTGCCCCAGGTAAGCCTGGCGAGCAGGAGTGGCGGGGAACGTGGGGTGTGGGCGCTGAAGCTCGTCATGGCCGGCTGGCTGCCCCAGAACACACACCCCCGGCCAGCCTGTTCCCACCCCTGCCCGTCGTCACGTCTGCCGCCCCCCGCCATGAGCGCCGCCGCTGGCTGCAGGCAGAGTCGCTGCCGCCCCGGCCGCCGCTGGCTCCAGTCCGCCGCCATTATTCTTTGTTCGCTGCGAGCGGCGGCGATGTTGTGGGGCTCGGGCGGAGGCTCCATCTTTACCGCGGCCCCTCCTGCGAGGGGAAGGCCCCGAGCGCGGGTGTCCGGCGCCTCCCCGTCCCCCCTCCGTCCCCCCGGCTCTCTCCGGCTCCTGCCTCCTCCTCCTGCTCCTCTTACCGGTGGTACAAGCTCCTCCGTCACTGCTTTCGTTCGCGGCCCGGATCTCGCTGGAGTTTTATTCTCTCCCCCACGTAACACACCGCGTCAAACTACACCTCCGCCGCGTCACTCACCAACACTCCGCTTCTCCCAGCCGCCCGGGCCACAGGCAGCAGCAGCCGCCGCCGACTGAGGAGCCGCAGCCAGGGAGCCAGCCAGCGCCGCCCAGTGCCGAGTGCGCAGCGGCCGCGCACGGAAACAGCCGAGCTCGGCCCGGAGGAGCTCGAGCGGCCCCGCCCCCCGCGCTGGAGGCGGAACTCGCCGAAGGCCTTCGGGCTCCTTCGGCCAAGGCGAAGGCGTTCCGCGGGGAGTGGGGGGAGGCGGCGAAGGTGGGAAGGGACGGGCGGGAGGGAGGAGTGGTCTGAGTCCCGCCGCGCCGTTTTGGCGGGTAAAAACCCGGCGGCGGAAATTTGCCGGAGGAAGGTGTGTGTGAATGTGGCCCCGTGGGGAATTCCCTAGGGGTGTCGACGGCTGGGTGGAAACCCCCGCGCGGGCCAGCCCCTGCGGCGGTAAGCGGCGGGCTCTAAGGCGGCTGCGGCGGGCCGGCCTGGGCCCTGGACCCTAGCCCCTAGTCCCTAAACGCCGTCGACCCCGGGAACTTTCGAACGCTGCGGGGACGTGGCCGACGCGCCGAGGGGTCTGGAACGCCGCTCGGTGCCGGAGTAGGGCGAGCCGGGAGGAAGGGCGGCGGAGGCTCTGCAAACGCCGCCAAGCCTGGTGCCCGGGGCCCGGGCCGGGTGCTGGGACTCGGGGTCGCTGCGCTGCCCCGGCGTTGTGGTAGCCCGGTGGGAGGGGTTTGCCCGGCCGGCGGCCTCTTCTCTGCGTGAGTGAGCGGAGAAACCTAGAGGCCGCCCGCCCTGCTCTTCGGTCTCC